TCTCTTTCTTTTTCTCCTCCCCACCCTGCCCTCTCCCCTTTCCTCTGGATTGTTAAAGGAGATGAGTTAGTATATATGGTGAGTCAGTTTCCACAGATTGTTTCCCTTCCTTTAAGATGGAAATCCTTTGCAGGTTTTTTATTTTGTTTTGTTTCATGATACATGCTTAACCTATAAAGATTCAGAGACCACGATACTTGGTTGGTTTGGCATATTTATATGCTGGACCTATATTTTTCAAGTTAATTTTTCTTTTGTGACTCAAGTTTTTAGTGTTGGGGAAAAAGTAAGTGTTTGCTGGAGAGCATTAATGCTATGATATATTTTTTTTCTTGCTGTATTTACTTTAGGATAGTTTTTTGGGGGCCTGGTTTGTGTATATTTCTCTGGGTGTGTGTGTGTGTGTGTGTGTGTGTGTGTGTGTATACCTATGTGTACATGAGAAGGACATATTACTAGATAAGGTCTTCTAGATTTCCTAGAATCAGAAATACTGTGAACCAGGGTGAATTAGGTTGAAGGCTAATTTATTCTTGATTAGAAAATTAATATCCTTCATAATTGGAAAATTTTAGAAGAAAGCGCACCTTAAACAAGATACCTTTCTCCCATCAGACAAATATTTAAAAGTATAAGTACTCTTAGTGTTCATAAGAGTCTGTGGAAAACTATGTGTAAACATCATGGAAACTAAGCAATACTCAGTAAAATCTTACTTATCAATATGACAAATTTCTCCTCAGAATCACTTTTCTTTTTGAAATGGAGATTTACAGAGATAAAGGGGAGTCAGAGGTCCTCCATCCACTGGCTCACTCCCAAACGACCGCAACAGCTGCAGCTTTTTCTGGGTCTCTCACATGGGTACAGGGACCCAAGGACTTGAGCATTCTTCAGATCTGGGGTTTGGATCAGAAGTGTAATAGCTGGGATACGAACTGGTGCCTATTTTGGGGTGCCATTCCTGCAGGTCGAGGCCTAGCCGACTGTGCCATGGCACCGGCCCCTCTCAGAATCAGTTTTTTTTTTTTTTTTAAAGATTTATTTCTTTTTATTGCAAAGTCAGATATATACAGAGAGGAGGAAAGACAGAAACAAATATCTTCCGTCCAATGATTCACTCCCCAAGTGACTGCAACGGCAGGTGCTGTGCCAATCCGAAGTCAGGAGCCCAGATCCTCTTCTGGGTCTCTCACGCAGATTCAGGGTCCCAAGGCTTTGGGCTGTCTTCCACTGCTTTCCCAGGTTGCAAGCAGGAAGCTGGATGGGAAGTGGGGCTGCTGGAATTAGAATTGGTGCCCACATGGGACTCTAGTGCATTCAAGGCGAGGACTTTAGTAGTTAGGCCACTGCACTGGACCCTCAGAATCAGTTTTAAAGAAAGTCATTCAGATACAGATTTGTGTCAAACACTTATGTCTAAAAATGTTTATTGTAGTAGTATTTGTAATAGAAAAAACTTAGGAAGTAGATCATACATCCAACAGTAAGGATGTGACTAAATAGAATAGTAGTATTATTTAAACGATCGTTATAGAGCCACAAAAATGATTTTAAAGAATATTTAGTGGCATAAAAACATGTAAATTAAAAGCAAAATGAACATGCTTTCGTTATGCATTTCTATATGAAGTTTTTGGCATATACAAAAGAAAATATTGTTTAACGAATAGTAAAATAGTCATACTACTTTATCCGAACTGTGAAATGTAAAAAATTCTGAATCATGCATCTGTTATTTATAAAGAAGAAAATCATTCAAAATTTTTCTTTAGGGAAATAGAATTACAAGTGATACTGTATTTATTTATGTTTCTGTTCTTGTGAAAGGAATATGTATTTTTGACAGTTAAAACATCATTAAAAATATTTCATGTAAAATGTAAGCTGCTTTTTTTTTTTTTCTTCAAAATGTATTTATTTGAAAGACATAGCAACAGAATAGAAGCTAGAGAGTTGTTCTGTCTTCACATGGCCTTAACAACCAGGGCTGGGCTAGGCTGAAGCCAAGGAGCATACAACTCCTTTTGAATCTCCCATGTAGATACAAGAACCCAAATACCTGGGCTGTCTTGCATTGTTTGCCATGTACTTTAACTGAATATTTAGGACTCAAACAAGCACTTTATGGAATGTGAGTTGAACCTTAACCTGTCATGCCACCAATGCCTGCCTGTTAGGTTGCTTTACCTCCATGTCATTGTGACAGAATTCTGGAGAGATAATAGCCACAGGAATTGCAGATACCTGGACTTTGATTGGATGTTCAAATGACTTCTACAAAATGTGTTTGATAATTCTACTAGGTTTTTTTTTTTTTTTTTGGTAATTTGTGCATCTGGATTTATTAATTGAACAAATTTGGGTGCCTGTTAAAGTACTAAATTAGAGTGATCAAGAAAGGGGGTCTTTCGTCTTGGTACATGACTTGCCCTGCTGGTGAAAGATAGTCAAACGAGCAAATGGTGAGTTATTAAAAAAAAAAAAAAGTGAAAGGAAATGAGACAGAAAGGGGGACTGATTTGAATGTGCTGGGTGTAGGAAGGCTGCAGAAGAAATTTGAATTGACAGTCAAGTGATAAGAAAGAGACATTTGAGTGATTTGGAGAAGGGTAAGAACTCTGCAGCATATACTGGGAACTGAAGAAAAAAAAAATGGCCAGAGCAGTTGGAATGTGTTGGATGTGGGGGCCCAAAGTGTAACAGAAGAGGAACTATGGTAGGGAGAGAGTTGATTGCGAGGGAACTTTTAGGCTTTGTTGTAAGTATCAATTTTATACTAAATGAAGCAAGAAAATATTGTAATGTAACTTTGCTTTTAAAATCACTCTGTTCTCATTGTAAGGGATCCAGGGATTTAGAATAAGGAAACCAGTAAAAAGTCCTGTTCAGTGGCACAGTGTGAGCTAATTCTGACCATAGTATAAACATTTAGGAAGGAGAGAAGTATACTGATTTGATTTCTGTTTGAAAGTAGAGGCAGTAGACCTTTCTGTAATGCAGACTGTAGGACAGGTGGAGACATCAAAGATGGGTTCCAGGATTTTAATTCAAATAGTAGGGAAGGTGGGCCAGGCAAGGCTGAGGAGAATATTGAGAATTCTTATTTGAAATGAGTTTGAGTTGTGTAGTAAAATGAGTAAGCAGATAGGTGAGTCTGGAGGAAGGTGAAGAAGTTGGGATTCAGAATAGATATTTCTGAGCTTTTAGTGTATATATATTTAGGATCATTGGACTGTATGAAATACTGAGCAAGAAGCACAATTATAAGTCCTGGAACTTTGAGCAGAATAGGAGGAGCCAATAAAAGGAGCAAGAAGAGAGTGGTTTGGAGTGATTTGAGTGGTACTGACAGGGGGAATTGCTGAGGTCTGAGGCTCTAAGTAGGTTAGTGTTCCAGTGTAGAAGTAACTTTAACAATGAGTCGGCTTGGGGGAGGATCAGGGAGGCAAATAGCAGTGATATGAGCTTAATAGAGAAATCCTTGTTGATTGATTGATTACCAGGTAATTCCTGGGTCATGTGTTGTGAGAAGATGGCAGGTTAACTTTTGGAGTTAGCTCAGACCCAGTTCAGTATCTGTGTGGCCTTGGACAAGCTGATCACCCATCAGATGAGAAGTGCCACATTGAGCCCCAGCTCCTAACTGTTACCAGTGAAGTCCCTGGTTGACAGTGTTTGAGGGCTCAGTTGGGTTTCTGCAACCAGCACTTGCTTTCAGCCTGACCCTGCCCTAGTTGTGGGTGTTTGGTGAGTGAACTAGAGAATGAGAGTGCGTGCGCTCAGGGACTGGCATGCCCTCTCTCTCTCTCTGCCTCTCAAATGAAAAGAAAAACAAAAAGGAAGCATGTGGATGAAAGTTTATGTTCTTTCATTTCCTTTTTTTCTTTTAAGACTTATTTATTTATTTGTAAAACAGAATTAGGAAAGGACAGGAAGAGAGAGATATTCCATGCACTAGTTCACACTCCAAATGGCTGCAGAAGCCACAGTTGGGCTGTTCCGAAAGCAGGAGCCAGAAACAACTTCTGGGTCTCCTTGAGCCATCTTCCATTGCTTTCCCAGGAATGTTAGCAAGGAGCTGGATCAAAGTGAGGCAACCAGGACGTGGTACCCATGTAGGATGCTTTTGGTACTGACTTCCGTGCTGTATCACAGTGATGGCCCATGTGCCCTTCATTTGTAAGCCCTCCTCAATCTAATAACACCTTGCAGGAAGTGGGAGGGCATTTTCTTACTAAGTTAGTTATAACTTGTAGCCAGCCAATATTAAGATATTTGCTGGTTACAAAAATGCTCATGTGATTTTTAAAAAAATTTATCTTAGAAGAAGTGCAATATGATACTACCCATCATAAAAATGTTGGCAAGATTAATAAGATAATGTCTATTAAATATCCGTCCAATTTGGTATTTATTGAATTTAGCTGTTAGCACATTAAAGGATGAGAAAGATAATTTGGGAATGTTTGAAGAAACAAACATTTTTAAAAAGCAGGGTTTTAACCTGACTCCAGATGTGAAATAAGACTAGAATGAGAGGAAAGAATAAAAAAGTTAAAAACTGAAGTTATGGAGATACATGAATGTATACATAAGTGGAGAGAGAGTAACCACTTTACAAATAAAATTTTTTCCCCCGATATTTAAAGTGAGAGCTTTATATTTCTAAATAAATGGAAGGAAAGTATAATCATGTGGGATAAATTGACCCCTGTGCTGTCTTGTGAGCACATTATAATATTTCTCAACTTAATGCTACTTGAGTTATTAATCACAATGAATAAAAAGAAAGCATCAGCTTACTCACAGGTAAAAAAAGCAAGTTTGTTTTATTTTCTTTGTTTTGTTGGGGAATGGGCAGTTCTCTATTAGTTCAGTTGTGTTTCAGATATCTTATGTTTTGATTAGAATGATACAGAATTTTTTAGCTCTTTCTTTTCTCTCCTTCTCTCTCTTTTTTTTTTGTTTCTTTTTTTTTTTTTTTTTTTTTGCCCTAGGTCCAGCAAGACTATGAATCTCTGTTCCAAATGCTTTGCTGGTAAGTGCAGAAAAGGAGTTTTTAATTTCTTTTTCTTTATCTGGTTGCCTTTTTTTTTTTTTTTTTAAAAAAAGGACTGCCTAAGTCATTTAACTCTCCTTTGAATTTATGCTTGTGGTCTTGTTTTCTTAGCTTGTGTGTGGAAAGTTTCTGCTTGGTAAGGTGCCTTACACTCAGTCCCCCTAAGTGGAATACATTCTCAAGTGAACTTTCACCAAACAACTTTCCTGGGTTTATTGGTAGTGGTGTATAGCAGACTTGAACATAGTAGGGAAATACGCATGTGTATCTGATCTTGAATGATTAATGGTGAATTTTGCTTTACCAATGAGGGTACAGCAGAGAATATTTTCATGCTGGTGTCAGGGACACAGTCATGCTGAGTTAGTACCTTCTCATCAAAACTCATTGAAATTACTTTGGGTAAGTCATTTAATCTCTTTGGACTTCAGATTCATAAATTGTAAAATGAAGGACTTGAGCCTGATGTTTGCCAAGGGCCTTTCCAAAGCCTGCAAATGCTGATTGATTAACTCCTTGAATTACAGCTGTTTCATGAAGTTGAAGTCTTCAGTTTTTTTTTTTAAATACTATTTTATCTAGTGATGTTACATAAAACAATACTTTATTAGGAAGTGTTTAATAATTTCCTTTTTTATTCCACTTATAAAAGATAAAATGAATGTAGACCTTAAAGTAGCAAGGACAGATGTTGGTCAGTAACACTGTTAAAAGGAAAGAAAAAAGGAAAAGTAAGAGTTTTAATTTTGATTTGCTCAGAATTGTCTGGATATTTTTTTAAAGGGGGAAGGATTGAGGGAAGTGTAGGGACTCTGCTGAGGAAGGGAAGTGGGAGAAAATAAAGCCACCTATGGCCTTATCCTTCCTGATTATGGCTTACTGAAGGAATGTCTGAGGAGTGATACTCCCTGGTTGTGGGAGATACCTTTATATCTCAAAGGGACAAAATAAAGGATTCACAGTAGGCAGCCTTTTTTAGCAGGTGCTGTGAGGGTGGACAGCGTCTGTGTTTGGTGTTGGCTACAATAAAAAGTAAATTGTTCTGGCAGTCTTGAGAGGCAGATGCTGTAAGTAGGGACTAGGCTTATCCTGGCCATGATGCCTTGAGTCATTAGAAGCCAGGCTATTAAAAATTTTTTAAAGATTTATTTATTTTTATTATAAAGTCAGATATACAGAGATGAGGAGAGATAGAGAGGAAGATCTCCCGTCTGATGATTCACTCCCAAAGTGACTGCAACGGCCGGTGCTGTGCCAGTCTGGAGCCAGGAGTCAGGAACTTCTTCCAGGTCTCCCACGCGGGTGCAGGGTCCCAAAGCCTTGGGCCGTCCTTAACTGCTTTCCCAGGCCACAAGCAGGGAGCTGGAAGGGAAGTGGAGGTGCTGGGATTGGAACCAGCACCCATATGGAATCCCAGGCATATTCAAGGCAAGGACTTTAGCTGCTATGCCATGCCGCCGGGCCTCAGGCTATTAAGTTTTAATGGTGGATAGGGGAGAGAGGTGTGAACTGAAATCATTTATGTTTGAGTCCTTAAGGGAGGGGGAACATTTATCTTGTTTGAAAACTGAACAGACAGAAGAAGAGTGTCAGTCAGCTCCTATCTGCTGGTGCAGTTCCCAAATACCGCCAACAACCTGAGCCGGGCTAGGATGAAGCTGGAAGTTGGGAACTCAATCCAGATCTGTCATGTGGGGGAGCTACTGCTTCCTAAGGCTTGCATTAGCAGAGAACTGGAACCCAGAACAGAGCTGGGACTTTAACCTAACACAATATGCAGTGTTCCGAGTGGTAATTTAAGCAGTAAGCTGGACACTGGACTTGAGACCTCTTAGCTTTTGTGGACTCGGTTAAAGCCTAGTATAGAGGGTCCAGAGGAGCCTGGCTCCGTGTTGATCAAGTTAACATTGATATGTTTTATTTTAGAGATTTATTTATTTTTATTGGAAAGTCAGATATACAGAGAAGAGACAGAAGCAAAGATCTTGTATGCGCTGATTCACTCCCCAAGTGAGCGCAATGGCCGATGCTATGCCGATCCAAAGCCAGGACCCAGGAACTTCTTCCTGGTATCCCACATGGGTGCAGGGTCCCAAGGCCTTGGGCCTTCCTCGACTGCCTTCCCAGGCCACAAGCAGGGAGCTGGATGGGAAGCAGGACTGCCGGGATATGAACCAATGTCTTAATGGGACTCAGGGTGGGCATTCAGGGTAAGACTTTAGCTACTAGGCTACCCTGCTGGGCTTAACATTGTTAATTATTCTTTTTTTATTCATTATGCTGTTTGAGTTAGGAAGTGATCTCTGTGTATTCCTTAAGCATTTTCATTTGTGCCTTAATCCAAAGGATAGGTGGAAAAGAATTGATAGGATTTTGAAAACTAGCAGTTTGAATCTGTTCAGTATTTGTTTTGTTTGTTTGTTTTTTAATTTTTGAATCTGTTCAATGTTAAGAATTTGTCAAATAGTTACACTTTTAAAAATTATTTGTAGGGTTACCTTTTACCCATTTTTAAAATGCTGCATTAAAGGATTAATTTTTGTGTTACTTTGTATATCATACAGTTCCTATGAAGAAGTGCTTCCTCACTGATGAGAGCTTACAATAAAATGTAGCAGGGAGACAAAATGTATAACAGATGGTTTATCTCCATTTAGAAATTTCTTCTTGTAATTGGTAAAGCATGGCATGGGGGATGGTCAGGCACTTTAGAATGAGGTAATTTACTCATAAAAAACCATTTCATGTCCCTGAAAAAAAAAATTAAATACCACTGAAGCCATAGTTCAACCATGCTCTTGTTTTATTTATTTATTTATTTATTTATTTAGGATTTGTCCTTTTTTTTTTTTTAATACTTGTAACTTTTCATCTGTCTCTGGTGACTATGCCTACTTTTATACAGTTTTGCCTTTTTTGCTTTTAACATATTAAGAGACTCTTAAGTTCATATAGAAAAATACTCTTTTCTTTTCCCTATCTATAATCCTATCTTCCTACTCTACCTAGCACCATTACATGCTCTACTAGTATGTAATGACTAGTAGCATCCTGCCTGCGGAGGCAGCACTTTGTGTTCCTTTTGAAATTCTAAAGGAAAGAGATTTAACTTAAAGACTGTGAATGCTGTCTGAATATGAACATAAGAAGAATATGGTGAATATATTATGGCGGAAGAGGTATGAGAGGAACAAGACTACGTGGGGATTATTTTAGCATAAGCCACTATGAATTAAAATGTTGTTTTAGAAGTATTTTATATAGAATGTATTATGGAAGATGGAAAAATCCCTTAATTTTTGCTTTTTGAAGATTTATTTGAAAGAAAAAGTTACAGAGATGGAGGGAGGGAGGGAGGCAAAGAGAGATGGAGAGATCCTCTATGTGCTGATGCATTTCTCAGATGATTGCAACAGCTGGAGTTGGATGAAGCCAAGGGGTAGAGACTCCTTTTGAGCCTTCCGTGTGGGTTGCAGGGGCTAAAATAATTGCGCCATCCTGTGCTGCTTTCTCAGGAGCGAGGGCAGGGGTTTGAATCAGAAGTGGAGCAGGTAGGACTCCTGCCAGCACTTCTGGAATGCTGGCATCACAGGTGGCAGCTTAACCACTTGGTGGCTCCCAAAATAGCTTTAAATGACTGTAGCATACCCCTGGACTCAGTAAAGAGACTTTCAAGATTTCTCTGTGTAACTCAGAGGGGTTAACATTATGGGTGCTTTTTCATAAAATTGAATGATGTGAGAAGAAACTATTGATTTGTTGAGATAGCAGAGTGTAGGGTAGGAGTTATGGTTGTTGAGTGATAGTTAACTTTGATGGCTTGTTTTGCCTTTGATGAAATATTCTTCTAAATGGTGTGCACCTCAGTCCACCATCACTTCAAATATTTCCCCTTTTCTTTATAAAATATTCCAAGATTGTTGAAGTTTAGAGGAAAGAAACAAAGCTAACAGAATGTGAAGAGTGCTATTAATTTCAGAATATTGGTGTTTTCCTGTACCGTTAGAATGAAGCATGACATCATGAGAAATTTGCCTATGTGTAAGAAATGAACTTGGCTGGATTTGCTGAATATGTACAGCTCAAGTCTAAATACCTTTTTCGGAAATGACTTTGTACCGTTTTTAAGTGAAGAATTAAAAATAACCAGAGAAGGAGGGAGAGAGAGATCTTAGTGTGCTGCTTCAATCAACAGATGGCTGCTCCAGCCATGGATGGGCCAGGAGCTCCAAGTACACCTCCCTCATGGCTAGCAGGGGTCAGCACATCTGAGCCATCATCCGTTGTTAGAGCACCTGCACTGTTTTTGCAGAGCTGAGACACTGCAGCATGTTTGTTGTCTTTGATGCAGACTGGTAGAACAGCTCCAGGTCTACCAAAGAAATGGTTTGATGGGCCTTCTAGAGAAAGTGTCCCTCTCAGTTATAGTCCACTTATGTGCCTGAATTGGGGAGTGGTTTACCTGATATCCCCCAGGTCTGTCCCCAGTATGGGAAAGTACTTTCTGGTGGAGGTGACATTTGTTTGATAGGTGGAAATGTTTATATGGGTGATGTGGCTTTTAGCTCCTGACCCTCAGCTGACTTTATCCCGCCCTCATAAATTTCCAACCCTTAATCTTAAAGGTTGTTGAAGGATGCAGATTAATTTAATCTTGTGTATCTGTTCCCAGCTGATTAAGGATGTAGGCCCTATCTGAGCTTCAGAAATCTCTCCGTATTCCATTTAATAAGTCTGTTTCATAAACCATAGGATTTCCAGTGAGTGTCCTTGTCTGTGTCCCCTATAATATTCCTCAATATTTTGTGAAGTTGCTGGGATATCTGTTTGCCTTTTGGAGTGGTATTTGAAGTCTTCATCTGATTCACTGGAGTAGGCAGTCCAGTCTTTTAATAGCCTTCCGGGTGGGTAGGGGACATAGGTGGCCGTACTTCCTCCTGCATGACCATTCCTGTATGGCTCAAGTCTTCCTAAGCCCT